CAGTGCTTCCAGGTTTTCGATGGTGGTCTAGCTTCAATTGACTCATGATTTCAACTGTGAAAATACTAAATTCTCCACAAAACCCCCTCTGATCTATAATCATATGCTCACTAGTGACTGACTTCAAGAGATATTTCCTTGAGTTCTAGTGGGAAGCAGTGGCCAGTGGAGTTCTACCAGGTCTGTTGTAGAGATATCATCTCACTGAGGACAATTGGTGAACGGTCGCTCAATATCGTGGATTGGTTGAAGTTAGACATTAACACCGTTGGATGCCAGCTCAGTGGTCTATCGGTTAAGGGCTTCGGCTCGAGACTGGTAGGTCCTGGGTTCGAATGTCGCTCACGAGAGTGGGTTCGTGGATGCGCACTGCTGAGGAGTCCCATAATAGGACGAAACGGCCGTCCAGTGCTTCCAGGTTTTCGATGGTGGTCTAGCTTCAATTGACTCATGATTTCAACTGTGAAAATACTAAATTCTCCACAAAACCCCCTCTGATCTATAATCATATGCTCACTAGTGACTGACTTCAAGAGATATTTCCTTGAGTTCTAGTGGGAAGCAGTGGCCAGTGGAGTTCTACCAGGTCTGTTGTAGAGATATCATCTCACTGAGGACAATTGGTGAACGGTCGCTCAATATCGTGGATTGGTTGAAGTTAGACATTAACACCGTTGGATGCCAGCTCAGTGGTCTATCGGTTAAGGGCTTCGGCTCGAGACTGGTAGGTCCTGGGTTCGAATGTCGCTCGCGAGAGTGGGTTCGTGGATGCGCACTGCTGAGGAGTCCCATAATAGGACGAAACGGCCGTCCAGTGCTTCCAGGTTTTCGATGGTGGTCTAGCTTCAATTGACTCATGATTTCAACTGTGAAAATACTAAATTCTCCACAAAACCCCCTCTGATCTATAATCATATGCTCACTAGTGACTGACTTCAAGAGATATTTCCTTGAGTTCTAGTGGGAAGCAGTGGCCAGTGGAGTTCTACCAGGTCTGTTGTAGAGATATCATCTCACTGAGGACAATTGGTGAACGGTCGCTCAATATCGTGGATTGGTTGAAGTTAGACATTAACACCGTTGGATGCCAGCTCAGTGGTCTATCGGTTAAGGGCTTCGGCTCGAGACTGGTAGGTCCTGGGTTCGAATGTCGCTCGCGAGAGTGGGTTCGTGGATGCGCACTGCTGAGGAGTCCCATAATAGGACGAAACGGCCGTCCAGTGCTTCCAGGTTTTCGATGGTGGTCTAGCTTCAATTGGCTCATGATTTCAACTGTGAAAATACTAAATTCTCCACAAAACCCCCTCTGATCTATAATCATATGCTCACTAGTGACTGACTTCAAGAGATATTTCCTTGAGTTCTAGTGGGAAGCAGTGGCCAGTGGAGTTCTACCAGGTCTGTTGTAGAGATATCATCTCACTGAGGACAATTGGTGAACGGTCGCTCAATATCGTGGATTGGTTGAAGTTAGACATTAACACCGTTGGATGCCAGCTCAGTGGTCTATCGGTTAAGGGCTTCGGCTCGAGACTGGTAGGTCCTGGGTTCGAATGTCGCTCACGAGAGTGGGTTCGTGGATGCGCACTGCTGAGGAGTCCCATAATAGGACGAAACGGCCGTCCAGTGCTTCCAGGTTTTCGATGGTGGTCTAGCTTCAATTGACTCATGATTTCAACTGTGAAAATACTAAATTCTCCACAAAACCCCCTCTGATCTATAATCATATGCTCACTAGTGACTGACTTCAAGAGATATTTCCTTGAGTTCTAGTGGGAAGCAGTGGCCAGTGGAGTTCTACCAGGTCTGTTGTAGAGATATCATCTCACTGAGGACAATTGGTGAACGGTCGCTCAATATCGTGGATTGGTTGAAGTTAGACATTAACACCGTTGGATGCCAGCTCAGTGGTCTATCGGTTAAGGGCTTCGGCTCGAGACTGGTAGGTCCTGGGTTCGAATCTCGCTCGCGAGAGTGGGTTCGTGGATGCGCACTGCTGAGGAGTCCCATAATAGGACGAAACGGCCGTCCAGTGCTTCCAGGTTTTCGATGGTGGTCTAGCTTCAATTGACTCATGATTTCAACTGTGAAAATACTAAATTCTCCACAAAACCCCCTCTGATCTATAATCATATGCTCACTAGTGACTGACTTCAAGAGATATTTCCTTGAGTTCTAGTGGGAAGCAGTGGCCAGTGGAGTTCTACCAGGTCTGTTGTAGAGATATCATCTCACTGAAGACAATTGGTGAACGGTCGCTCAATATCGTGGATTGGTTGAAGTTAGACATTAACACCGTTGGATGCCAGCTCAGTGGTCTATCGGTTAAGGGCTTCGGCTCGAGACTGGTAGGTCCTGGGTTCGAATGTCGCTCGCGAGAGTGGGTTCGTGGATGCGCACTGCTGAGGAGTCCCATAATAGGACGAAACGGCCGTCCAGTGCTTCCAGGTTTTCGATGGTGGTCTAGCTTCAATTGACTCATGATTTCAACTGTGAAAATACTAAATTCTCCACAAAACCCCCTCTGATCTATAATCATATGCTCACTAGTGACTGACTTCAAGAGATATTTCCTTGAGTTCTAGTGGGAAGCAGTGGCCAGTGGAGTTCTACCAGGTCTGTTGTAGAGATATCATCTCACTGAGGACAATTGGTGAACGGTCGCTCAATATCGTGGATTGGTTGAAGTTAGACATTAACACCGTTGGATGCCAGCTCAGTGGTCTATCGGTTAAGGGCTTCGGCTCGAGACTGGTAGGTCCTGGGTTCGAATGTCGCTCGCGAGAGTGGGTTCGTGGATGCGCACTGCTGAGGAGTCCCATAATAGGACGAAACGGCCGTCCAGTGCTTCCAGGTTTTCGATGGTGGTCTAGCTTCAATTGACTCATGATTTCAACTGTGAAAATACTAAATTCTCCACAAAACCCCCTCTGATCTATAATCATATGCTCACTAGTGACTGACTTCAAGAGATATTTCCTTGAGTTCTAGTGGGAAGCAGTGGCCAGTGGAGTTCTACCAGGTCTGTTGTAGAGATATCATCTCACTGAAGACAATTGGTGAACGGTCGCTCAATATCGTGGATTGGTTGAAGTTAGACATTAACACCGTTGGATGCCAGCTCAGTGGTCTATCGGTTAAGGGCTTCGGCTCGAGACTGGTAGGTCCTGGGTTCGAATGTCGCTCGCGAGAGTGGGTTCGTGGATGCGCACTGCTGAGGAGTCCCATAATAGGACGAAACGGCCGTCCAGTGCTTCCAGGTTTTCGATGGTGGTCTAGCTTCAATTGACTCATGATTTCAACTGTGAAAATATTGTAGTGCCAATTGGAGATTTGGATACACAAGCCGAGTATCTAGGTACTAAGAGTCGTGTAGGTGGCTACTGAGGGTTTCTTAGTCACAGGTCAGATAATACTTCCCGTCTGCTGCAGCTTTGGGCAGACCACAACCTGTTTCTAGATGGCACCAAATTTTGGCACAGTCATCGCTGATTCGTTACTTGTCGCCCCACCTTTCCATCTCAAGTCTGATTATATTGCGATCAGCTACCACTAGCATCGTTGTGCACAAGAGTGTCGCTCCTTCTTAAGCACTTATCTAGACGCCGACCATGCCCTTTTCTGCGCTAATCTTGCCTTACGTTTCAGCGGCCAATAAATTCATCATCCCAAACGGATCGATATCAGCAAATTGGTTGCAGCTTCTCTTGAAACTAAGCTGGGTTCAAGGCTAGCTATCAGCCCATTTAAAATTGTGGATGAGCATTGATTGCAGTTGCATGACGTCATGAAAATGGAGAGTAAAGTCACCTGTGGCTTTGCGAAATTTCCCGCTTATAAGCACTGGGTTTTCACAGGCTCCTTACAACTCATTGAAGCCCGTCAGTCTAGGTTAGGATCTTGAGTACTGTTACAGGTATAAGGGCAGTTATCACTTCCCGGTTGCCCACACAGTGGAAGGTTTCTTCCAGAGGTACCTGAAAGGGAAGTTGGGTTAGAAGTGGTCTTAACGACCTGAGAGCGTGACTGCAGTGCCCAAGGGACAACTGCTTGAGGTCGGTCACACACGACCTTTTTGTGGATAGTTTTTGTGCTAGCTCCGTGCTTGTTGGGACCTTACCGCCGGAGACGGATATCCGTGGCACAAGGCGAGGTGTGCATTTTTAGGGTCGACCTTTTCTAACTACACCCCTCCTTGTGGGAAGGCAGCATCGCTGTTATGCTGGTTGTCCGGAGGAAACACCTTACTGTTGTCACACCTCTGTACAGTCAGCAGTACGACTTCAACCTCGGACCTTGGGTTTGCTGCTTTTAGTCTTACTGCTCCTCAACCGACCTGTCTGGCATGGTAGGACCTTGAGGAACGATTGTTCCAGCCAGTGTAGCTTGTTTGGTTCATCATGATAGGAAAGCCCGACCACCATGTCAAGGTAGCAGCAACGGTCGGGTTGTCGGTCTACTTCGACCAACCACGAGTTTGACCGTAAACGAAGACTGTTACGTAATAAAATTGAGAAGACGACCGATAACCTTGGTGGTCGGAGTGTGCCAATGAGCTGAAAGCAGTAGATGCATCTGGTAACTGCCGGGAGCTCTTTCAACTCATCCGAGTCACTGGTGTGAGAGAAACGGTCTGTGAAGCTGATGGGATGCCAATCAATATCATCTGAAGCCTTGGACGATGGGCAGAGTTTTTCGATGGATAGTTCGACTAGTCTGCTGCCCCAGCGATATCGATCAGACTGTACTACCCTTCGTGACCCGCTGGTTGGGCTTCAAGAGATAATGCAATGAAGTGGCTTGAGACTTTATCAGACATAAGTCAGAATGAAGCCAGTGGCGATCTTGGTACAACTTTATTCGAAAAAATGAGAGGGACTTATTTAACTTATAAAGTTCTTTGCGGTTGTATTTTTCCTAACTGAACTGCTTCCTCCATTACTTTCCACTCTCATTCACCAATTTCCAATCACTTGGTGCATTTTCGTTACGATTCTTACCTTTATCTCTTTGCAATCTTATTTTCTTATTGTGTGTTGCATATTTGTGCTTAAACAGTGATCATAGTAATGACTTGACAGGTAGGTTGTTTGATAATTTTCGATGTATATATCAGTTATACGGTTTAACAAAGATGTAATCCGGATAACAATGTAGAATAAAGAAATAAGCAAAAAGGAATTAGTGCTGTGAGAAAAGTCCTATAGAGATAAAAGTTAAATACAGGGGCTTAGATAAAGACAGACATGGTACGTACTCATTTTAAGTAGAATTTTAAACAAAATAACGTGCTGCAGCAATGAGTGGTTGCTTCATTTGGACCGTTTTTTTATTGTCTTGTCTGTTTCGGTGTATTATTTTAGACTGTTGTGTGTAAGCAATGTTGACACCACAAACGAGAAAATCTAACTATTGTACTGTCACTACTAATTCTAATGAAGTTATCTGCGAACTTAATAGTTCAAGGGTACAAAAATGGTCATTTGAGTTTGAGAGACTACTATATTAGCTAGTGGTAGACAATAGAGGCGTGACACGTATCCATAATTGGATGTTGAAAACACCTTTGTAATAAAATGATCGCTTATTACTTACTTTGAACGCAAAAGTAAAACATTTAATGATATTACATACAAACGTACGGATAACTGCGCTCGAATCACATATACAAATATCAGCTCGTCAGACGGTGTCGATCCACTGGAAGATTCTTTATTTCCCGTTTGTAAACTGCGTGAGCCATACCCAGGAGGTGTTTTAAAGTACAAAACAAAGCGATTAAGCTCTTCTGAAGAGAAGATTTGAACAGGAAACAAACTTAAAGACATTGTTTCTGGTAAATGTCCTGGCTCTATCAAAGTCAGATGGTTTGGTAGAGTCGTTGATACTATTTCAGCAACAGCTTTATCAATCCTAAACAAAGTGGTTTGATATTAATAAGGGTAAATACTTAATGCAGTTAAAATCGTCACTTTTCAATTTACTTGAATATTTAGAATGCCAAGTGCTCCTGATGAAAACTATGGTTTGCAATGCATAGAAATACATAAAACCTTAAAATAATTATGGGAGGTCAGTCAGTTACAACGTAGAACTTCGTACGTACGTACGCACATCAGTTCGAGTTGCCATACCACATTAGCACAGAGATGCAGTTGTCGATTCGAATCCCATAGTGGTAGACGTAGTAGGAGTATAATCAGAAATCCAAAAGATTAGGGTTTGAAGAAATTATTGAAGGAGTATAGTACAGTGAAATAAATTTGGAAAGAGAAAAAGATAAAAACATGAGGAATTCAGAAGATTAGAATTTGGTAGAACACAAAGAGTGGATGCACCTTCGCCATTGCAAACGATTTTGAGCCATGTCATTCAAGGTCTCTAACCATCGGTTGCTGTCATCTCGCGAATCCCAACCAGGTAGTCTACCCCTACCAACATGGCCCAGTCCACTTGTCAGTGACTTCATTGATTTGTGCCACGTTTTGGTCTGGCCGCCCCTAGCTTTCTTGCAACCTACTCCTACATTATGAAACATTGCACGTCGGGGCAGTCGGTGGTCGGGCATACGTAACACATGTCCCAGCCATCTCAACTGATGAAGTTTCACTACATCATCAATCGATTTGCCATCCCTACCTAGTACTCGTTTCCTAACAACTGCATTACTTACCCGGTGGTCCCAGGATATACGAGCAATGCTTCGAAGGCACCTATGATCGAAAACTAGTAGCCTACGAATATCCTCTACTCTTATCGGCCATGTTTCACTGCCATAAAGTAGGACGGAGCGAACTGCTGCACAGTAAACCCGTCCTTTGGTTGGTAGACGGATATCTCGCCTACGCCATAAATGACGCAAGTTGGCGAAAGCTAGACGAGCCTTCTGTATCCGTGCTGAGATTTCGTCACATACCAGACCACAAGGGCTGATGAGACTCCCAAGATAAGTGAAATGGTCTACACGCTCAACTACTTCACTCCCTATCATTAGTTCAGGTGTCGCTGCAACCCAATCCTGAAGTAACACTTTGCACTTCGAGGGAGAGAATCGCATTCCGAACATGCCTGCATAGTTGCTTATAGTGGTCAGAAGACTCTGCATGTTGTCAGCGTCTTCACAGAGTAAAACTATTTCGTCGGCGTATTCTAAGTCAACAAGTGAATCTCCCGGTAAAAGTTCAACTCCTGGAGCTTTAGCTGATGAAAGTGCTATCTCTAAAAGTATGTCAATGACAAAGTTAAACAAGAATGGGGAGAGTGGACAGCCCTGACGAACGCCACTTGTGGTAATCAGTTCGATGACAGTTCGCCATAGGCACTAACTCGACCAGTTGTGTTCGAGTAGAGAGCCTTTATGAGGTTAATGTACTTCTTTGGTACTCCTTTCAGTGATAAACATTGCCATAGAACCTCACGATCAACGGAGTCAAATGCCGCCTTAAGGTCAAGAAATACTACTATTGTGGGACGTCTGAATTTGTGTCTATGTTCTAGGACCTGACGTAGGGTGAATATCTGGTCTATGCAACCACGTCCAGGTCGAAAACCAGACTGGTTTTCTCTAGTCTGCTCTTCACGAGCTTTGGTTAGGCGACCTAGTATTATTGAAGCTAATATTTTAGACACTATATTAGTCAAACTGATCCCTCTGTGATTGTCACAAGAGGACTTTTGTCCTTTCTTATAGACTGGCACAATCAGTAATTGTGACCAGTCAGATGGAATTACGTCCAGTTCCCAGATTCTACCTAAGACCTCAGTCAATCTCACTGCTAGTACTGGACCACCATCCTTAAAAATCTCAGGGGTCAACCTGTCAGGGCCTGCTGCTCTCCCTCGCTTCAGATTTCCTATAGCTTTTCAACCTCGCAGAGGGTTGGAGGACTTGCATCAATTTGCCATTCAGGACGACTGGGGATCGTGGGTAATTGAAGTGTGGCTGAAGGCCAGTTGAACTGATCCCTAAAGTGTTCTGCCCATCGATTCAATCTCCTGGATTGAGAATGAATGATATGCCCATCTTTATCTGAGATGGCTTCACTGATATTCGGGTTCCTAATACCGGTTTCTTTAACGAGTCTGAACAGCTGCCTACTGTTACCTATTGCCGCTGCCTTTTCCATCTCTCTTGCTTTCGCTACCCACCACTGTTCACGATCATTACGTAGGCTTCTTATAAGCTTGCGCTTAAGTTGACTCCGCTCTTCGTTATGCTCAGAGCCAGGTGGGATGAGTTTACGAGCAACTATCAGTGCGGTAGATGCTGCCGAGATCCATTGTTTCTCCCTAACGTTATGGTTTACCTTACTAGCAGATATCACTGCTGTTTCCACAGCTTTTCGAATGTCATTCCACGCTGCCTCGGGGTGGACACAACTTACATGGCTGCCTAACTGTTTTCCTAGTTGTTCCTGAAATATATTCTTAGCTTGCCTATCATTAAGTAGAACCCTTAGAGGCTTCCCTGCAGTGTCTTTCCTACGACCAGTAAGACGCAGACAGATACGTGCTCGCACTAGAGCATGATCTGAATCTAAACATGTGCCCCAGAATGAGCGACAGTCTTCTATCGAGGCCCTCCATCTGTGGCTGATAGCGATGTGATCTAATTGGGTCCAACGTTGGGACGAATTCGGGGGTCGCCATGTCAAAAAATGTTTTTCCTTATGCTTAAAGTTAGTATTTGCTGGAAATAGGCGGTTATCTGAGCATAGCTGCAACAGACGGTCGCCATTATCTGTTCTTTTCGCCATGACACCATAAGATCCACCCAGGTGTCTTTCCCTTTCACTTAGTTTACCTACTTGAGCATTAAAGTCACCTGCTACTATTACTACATCAGAACGCCTAGCTTCTCGGAGAAGGTCAGAAAGTTTCCTGTAGAACTCATCTTTTATATCGTCTGAGCTGTAGTCAGTGGGAGAGTAGGCAGAGACGACGAAGAAGCAACGACGAGTTTCCCTATCTTTCCGGGTCCTTACTGATCCGTTTAGTCGGACAGCGCATAGACGACTGTCTACTGGGATCCAGTCTAAAAGAGCTAGTTCTGCCCTAGGACTTAATGCTATACCTACTCCAGCGAGGCCACGGGAAGCAGCATCAGGGCTTCCAGATACACGAAGCGTGTATCGAGATGAAACTTTATTTTGATTAGGTGCGGTTAAATGAATGACACTACTCGGATCTTGTATGCGCGTTTCGGAGACGCAGCACACATCGATGGTGTAAGATTCCAGAGTCCTAGCTAAGGAAGCCTGTTGTCCTATTTGGCACAGTGTTCGGACATTAAAAGTTCCTATGTGTAGTTTAGAGCGTGGTTTCAGGAGACCAGGAATAACGTTCTGTGTACTCGAATCGTTTGCCCTAGCGGTGCGAGGTGATAAAAGGACGTGGAAAGGGATAGTCGTGGAGATAACAGAGTTATTAGGTGTAGGAAGGATTTGAAAGCGACCAACTTGGTCTTGTGTGCAGTTAAGGGTATGAGGGCTAGTATCACTTCCCGGCTGCCCACACCGTGGAAGGGTATTTCTTGAGGGACCTGAAAAAGAAGTTGGATTAGTGTTGGTCTCAACGACCTGGGAGCGTGACCGCAGTGCCCAAGGGACATCTGCTTGAGGCCGGTCACGCACGGCCTTTTTGTGGGGGATTTTTGACGTGTTAGCTCCGTTCTTCAAAAGTCCTTACCGCCGGAGACGGAAATCCGTGGCACAAGGCGAGGTGTGCATTTTTAGGGTCGACCTTTTCTAACTACACCCCTCCTTGTGGGAAGGCAGCATCGCTGTTATGCTGGTTGTCCGGAGGAAACACCTTACTGTTGTCACACCTCTGTACAGTCAGCAGTACGACTTCAACCTCGGACCTTGGGTTTTCTGCTTTCAGTCTTACTGCTCTTCAACCGACCTGTCTGGCATGGTAGGACCTCGAGGAACGACTGTTCCAGCCAGCATAGCTCGATTGCTTCATCACGATAGGCAAGCCAGAACACCACGTCAATGTAGCAGCAACGGTCGGGAATTATGGGAGGGCTTAAAACCAGGGTGTTAGTCACAATCAGATAAAATAATTAATCTGGATAGATTTGGTTCGTTAATCGTACTTTGTTATTTGCAATATAAATAAAATCCTCTACAAGGACGACTGAAACCCGTTGCCCTTTCTGTCGATGCATTTAAGACTAGTCATTTTACTTACTTCTAGACAATTACTTTCAGGATGAAAAGGCTTTTCATTCAATTTTAAACGGTATATTCATGCTTCACAAGTAAGATAAGTCCTTATATGCGTACTTATTGATACGAACAACTTGTAACTACCTACGAAAATCATTTCAAACTTTAATCATTTTAATATTGGAAACAATTATAATATAAGAAAACAAACAGTAATCTAAAGTTAGATACATACTCAACTGTTCTTTTTAAAATATCTTGTTCTATAACTGTTTGATGCATTTGGCGAGCTAAATGTAGTGGTGATACCACAAAAGTATGTCCATCAGATGGCATGGGATTCGGATTAGCTCCATGGCTTAAGAGAAATCGTGCACAGTGAACCCATCCACGACGGGTAGCCTAAAAACGATGGAAAGATGGTTCAAATTATGCATATTTCGAAAAGATTACCTAAGGATGAAAATGAGCAGGTGGTTAACGTATGAAAACTTACACGGGTAAGAGCACATTCGCCATGGCAATTAATAGTGTTGACTAACGCTCCCGCATTTAACAGCAGTGACAGAACAGTCAGATGACCCTAAACAATTGAATTTTGAAGAAAAAGATTAGTTTTATATGTAAAAAAAAATACGTATTTGAGTAAAAGAACAAAGCTTTTAAGCTAAAATAACACATTTTACTGTGAATAAGCGGATGCATGATACGCGGAACTTGTTCTTTCTACACCATGGAGATCTTGTAAATCTCGGTGTTGTATGAATGTTGATAACGCTTTTGAGTTGTACTTGGTAAGCAAGTAATATTGAACTATATTAACGACAAACTCGATAGTAAGGCTGAAATATTAGATTAGAGCCACAATGAACAGCTGATTCAAAATTAATACGTATCTTCCTATTTAATCTTTTCTAAATGTGTAGATTACGCAATAAGCAGTCAGTTCAAGTGACTCGAAATATCTGATTCTAATCAAAAATTTCACATTTCTTGTAGATTAGAACAATAAACCCAATGTACAACATAAACGGTTGTTCATTTACCAAATACCGGCAGACATTCTCAGCTCTGCATCATGCTTTCTTGTGTAGGTGAACCAGTTATACTAACCGGCTGCACAAACCTAACTAGGCGGAACCAAATCCGAACCTGTGAACTAACGGTAAAGCTAAGTCCTTAAAACGGTTTACCATAGTTACTTCCTCAATAACTAATCATCTTGGGATCTGACAAAATAGTGTACTGTTACATGTTTCATGGCAAGTCTCAAAAAAGTAAAAACAATCATAGAAGGAAAAATCTTTCTGAGAATATGCTAATGAATGTAAGAAATAGTGATATTTGCATTTTATAATCCATGTACTGAATCGTATTAAAAACTGTATCGTATGTCAGATTACCTTGCAAACTAGAGATAAATAGGAACAACGATTGTAATATGACACATCCTACAAAGATACACCGTAAACTCACTCGCTATGGCAAAATTGTTCCAAATATATTATACACTTCAGTTAGAGCTTGGTGCAATGAGCATAAGAGATCATCACAATGCCTAATCACTTCAGAAGGCTAATTGCTGGTTTTGTCACTTATTTACGTAGGCTTGTTAACTGAGGCCTGTATGAATCATCAAGTGTGTGCATTGTCTTCAACTGTTTTACAGAAATCTACCAATCATTAAAAACACTAACTCTCCATATTTTTTGTTTGATTCGAATACATATGATACAGCGACATAAAACAAGAAAACCAAAGCACACAGTTCATCATTTTAAAATTATTAGATGACAACACTTTTACTAGAATATGTTTAGCAGACAAATAATTACAACAATGAGTAGGACGAAACCAATTAGATCTTTCAGTAATTCGTATTTAATCTCTAAATTTGCGTTTAAACTTTGGTAATTCACTAACTATATATGGTGAACTCGTTCCAGTCAATAATATATGTACATAAACTAATGACAGACAGACTTATGACATCTAAATCGCTTAACTAATCGGTTTAACCCACATCATCAACCAAATAATCTTCAACTTCGATTTATTTCACTTAATATTTTTACCAATGTAGTAAGAATTTAGAAACCTTAAGGATAAAAGCATCTAAGTAACTAAAGTTCGTATCCTATGACTACTTCATTGGCTGAATGCCCTCCAGTAGATCTAAACAAGAGTTCTCCGACCTCAACTTCACATGCACTGTGTGACCACTGAGTGTAAGCAATTTTACAAAGACTAAGGATCGGACAATTTTGTTGGTCTCTCGCCTTGAGAGTTTTTTGAATTTCTTGAGGTTATGATTTGTGATACTACCTACGTATCAAAAGCAATGCAATTAGTTTAAAAAGAATCAATATTCTCAAGTTTCTGATCTATAAATCTACGTTACGAAAAAGTGAAGCCTGACTACATTAATCGTTTAGAATAACAAATGCAAGTGGCCCTGTATGAACTTTCTATTGAACTGGTCAAATCGACGGATGCTCACTTTTGTATTAACAGTTAGGCTAGAAACAATTCGTTACATGTGGGCAGTGAGATTCTTTGGCAGATGCTACAGAAACGTGGTTGTAAAAATTCTGTTAAGGGGGTGGGATCTGTCTTCACTTTTTTGTAGTTAGGTGTTTAGGGACAACTTGACACCCATTTGCAAAGGTATGTAATAATCTCTGAGACATTTTTGTTTTCGACAGCACTATCACTACTTTATGTGAGGTGCGAAATTAAACCACACCCTAGAGAACACAACCAAATTTATGCACATGAACTGAAAATCTACATCAATTCAAGACAAAGTGTTATAATATGTGTATTGAGCGTTAGGGAAAGAGAATAATGAGGAAAGTAATTGTCTTACACCATCAGCAGCATATATTAAGGGTGTAGAACCATCAGTTGACCTTGCATTTGCGGATGCACCATGTCTGATAAGGAGACCAACAATATCCGTATAACCTAAGAAACATAAAGGTTTTAGACAGTAAGTACACACAAGTTATGATAATAACTTACTTAAAGCATCATCAAAATACTTGGGTAATGAACTTTCGGGAAATGATCAAACTTGCTTGAACTACACAGAACTACTGAAAATCAGTTATTTGATTGAAAGTTGATGAGCACTTTGAACTTCCTCTTTTCCGCTTCCCTTCACAATTCCAAGTTAAGGGCTGCCTCGTGATGCAGTTTGGTGATGTCCACAATGTATGTCCCATCTACCTCCATCGTCTTTACTAATTTCCTCTTCAGCTCGCAGCTGGTTTATTCTCTCCCACAGAAGGTTGTTGCTGATGGTATCCGGTCAACGGACACTGAGTATCTTGCGTGGACAATGGTTTATAAATACTTGTACATTTTGATGATGGTTGTGGTAGTTCTCCAGGTTTCAACTCCGTACAATCGAACTCTCTTGAAGTTAGTAGTGAAAATTCTGACTTTGATACTGATTGACAGTTGTTTTGAGTCTCATATATTCTTCAACTGTAGGGACGTTACCCATCTTCGCCAATCCCTACCTTTACACCTGCATCAGATCCTTCTAGTTTATCGATGATGCTGATCAGGTACATGAAACTTGCCACCTCTTCCACAGTTACGCCATCCAGTGCGATTGGGTTTGCTGATGTTCTGTGTTGTATTTAAGGATCTTGGTTTTTCCTTTGTGTATACTGAGGCCTACTGATGCAGGGGCTACTGCTACATTAGTTTTATTCATCTGCATCTGTTGGTGTGTGTGGGATAGGAGATAGGTCATCTGCGAAGTCCAAATCTTCTAATTGATTCTGAACTGTCCATTGTATTCCGTGCTTCTTTTCAGATGTCCAGTTCTTCATACACCAGTCAACCACCAGAAGAAAGAGGAAGGGAGAGAGTAGACAGCCTTGTCTGACAACAATCATCACTTGGAATAAATCTTCCAGCTATCCTCCATGCATGACCTTGCACTGTAGTCCGTTAGTTGTATCATATAGTTGTTGAGTAAATACTATTAAATATAACTGGTGTACAATATCAGGCGACGATTAACTTTTGAGAAGAACGTAGTACCAAACTACCAGCATATTCCCGGTCAGTATGTCAACATATTCTTACAGAAAAAATAAGGACCTGGTAAAATACATTAAAGTATAAGCAGAACCCTGGTAATTCGCACGATTCATCAGTATCACAAGTCCGTTTCGAAACATAATAAATTATTCCTAATTAGCTTTTATCACACGCAATTAATAATACGTCATTGCAAGTATGAAAAGTATAACGAACAAAGTAGTACATACCTTTCCCAGCCGCTTTACAGATAACAGGCATATCAGTACCATAGTCAATTGGTGATATATGTGAACATTTCAATAGTTTATAAACTTTATCGGAATCTCCAGAAGAAACAGCATATCGCAAAAGTTTCACTAGTACAGAATGGTAATTATCGAATAGCTTACTGCCATCGGATACTGCTACAGGTGTGCATTGTGTATTTCGCTGAAATTATGAGAAGAGTAGACAATACGAAGTCAGTTTATAAATATATCACCAAGTGACAGGTTTTCCAACAGCATTTGGACAAGTTTCTTAATTGTAGAAACTCATATAACTTTAATAAACGTCTGTTTATAATATAAGTTTTCATACTAGTTTTATTGGCAAATAATTCATGAACTGACTTTTTATCTGACCATTTTGTTTTTGTAATGTTACTGGGACTTCAGTCAGTCAGTCAGCTACAACGTAGGACCAGGCACATATATGCATTGGTCCAAGTTGCCATACCTAGTTAGCACAACAAGAGGAACACCGGATTCATAGAAGCAATTAATTTACTGGTGGTAGTAGTATATAAATTATAGGTTGTATATAAGGATATAGTACAGGAAGGAAGAGAGATATGAAACAATTTTAGTCTCAAGGTTTAAGGGAAGATAAAGAGTGTATACATCTACGCCATTGTGATCGATTCTGAGCCATGTCACCTAGAGTCTCCAACCATTGGTTACGATAGTCACGCGGACCCCAACCAGGTAGTCTGCATCTGCCAACATGGCTCAGACTAGAAGTTAGTGACTTCAAACATTGATGCCATGTTTTGGTTTGGCCGCCCCTAACTCTCTTCCAACCGTCCCCAATACTAGTCATCATAGCGCGTCGTGGTAATCGGTGTTCAGGCATACGTAACACATGGCCCAACCATCTCAGTTGATGAAGATTCATCACCTCATCAACTGATTTACCATCGTTCCCTAATACCCTGCGTCTAACCTCACTATTACTTACTCGGTGATCCCAGCAGATGCGAGAAATATTTCTAAGGCATCTGTGGTCAAATACTAGTAACCTACGAGTATCTTCTACTCTTAATGGCCATGTTTCACAGCCGTAAAGTAGAACAGAGCGAACTGCTGCGCAGTATACTCGTCCCTTAATTGATAGACGGATATCTCGTCTACGCCATAGGAGACGTAAGTTGGCAAAAGCCAAACGAGCTTTTTGAATCCGTGCTGAGATTTCGTCAGACAGCAACCCATTAGGGCTGATCAGACTTCCAAGATAAGTGAAGTTGTCGACGCGTTCGACTACTTCACTCTCTATCCTTAGTTCGGGTGTTGACGCAGGCCAGTCCTGGAGTAACAATTTACATTTGGATGGGGAGAAACGCATCCCAAACATCCTGGCATTATTACTGACTTCCAACAGAAGACTCTGCATTTTGTCAGCGTCTTCACCAAACAGGACTACGTCATCTGCGTATTCTAAGTCGATAAGTGAATCTCCTGGTAGAAGATCAATTCCTGAAAATTCAGTCGAAGAGAGTGTTATTTCCAGCAACAGGTCTATCATGAAGTTAAATAAAAATGGGGATAGTGGACAGCCTTGTCGGACACCACTTGAGGTTGTAAAATCATAGGACAGTTCACCATAAGCTCTCACTCGACTGGTAGTGTTCGAGTAAAGAGCCTTCACAAGGTTTATGTACTTCTGAGGTACACCTTACAATGACAGACACTGCCACAGAACCTCTCGGTCTACAGAGTCAAATGCTGCTTTTAAGTCAAGAAAAACTATCATTGTCGGACGCCGATAAGCGTGTCTGTGCTCTAAAACTTGACGAATAGTGAATATGTGGTCGATACAGCCACGACCAGGTTTGAAGCCAGCCTGATTTTCTCGTGTTTGCAGTTCACGAGTCTTAGTTAGGCGCCCGATAATTATTGAGGCTAGCATTTTAGATGCTATGTTAGTCAGACTAATCCCTCTATGGTTATCGCAGGATAATTTTGACCACTTTTTATATATTGGGACAATCAGTGATTATGACCAGTCGGATGGGATTACATCCGTCTCCCAGATTTTAGCCAGAATATTAGTCAACCTAATCGCTAAAATTGGACCACCATATTTAAAAACCTCTGGAGCCAATCCATCACGACCAGCTGCTCTTCCTCGTTTCAGATTACCTATAGCCTTTCGAACTTCAAGTAGGGTCGGGGGGCCTACTTCAATGTTCCATTCAGGTTTTCTGGGAATAGTGGGTAGTTGTGCAGTAGCTGAAGGCCAGCTAAACTGCTCCTTAAAGTGTTCCGCCCATCGTTCTAAACGTTTAGGTTGAGAGTAGATAAGGGTTCCGTCTTTTTCCGAGATTGTCTCACTCACACTTGACTTCTTAATTCCGGCTTCTTTTATTAGTCTGAATAGTTGCCTGGTGTTGCATACAGCCGCTGCCTTTTCCATCTCTTTTGCTTTCGTTGCCCACCACTGCTCACGATGGTTCCTTAGGCTTTTAGTTAACCTAGATCTAATTTATTTACGCTCTTCGTCATGTTCAGAGCCTCATGGGATGAGTTTACGCGAATCCATCAGTGAAATAGACTTAGAGGAAATCCACTGGTTTTTTGGAGCCCTATGGTTTAAATGACTAATAGATGTTACTGCCGTTTCCACAGCTGTTCGTATGTCTTTCCAAGCAGTATCTGGGTCAGTCTCGTTTACAGAACTGCCTAGATGTGAACTCAGTTGTTTCTGGAATTCGCATTTGGCTTTCTCGTCCTCCAGTTCAATCCTAATGGGTCTTCTTAGTGTACTTTTCCTGCGTCCATTGAGGCGCAGACAAATGCGCGCTCGTATTAAAGCGTGATCAGAGTCTAAACAAGTATTCCAATATGAGCGACAATCTTCTATTGAGCCTCTCCAACGATGACTGATGACAATATGGTCTATTTGAGTCCATCGTTGGTTTGGTGCAGGTGGTCGCCATGTTAGGCGATGTCTCTCCTTATGTTTAAAGTTAGTGCTTGCTAAAAATAAACGATTGTCTGAGCATAGTTGCAACAGACGATCACCATTATCGGTTTGTTGAGTCGGAATACTAAAACACCCACCTAATTGTCTTTCTGTTTGATTTAAGCTGCCTACCTGGGCATTAAAGTCACCCGCTACGACTACTATGTCTGAGCGCTTAGCTTTCTGAAGAAGCTCAGAGAGTTTTCTGTAAAAGTCATCTTTCACTTCATCGTGGCTGCAGTCAGTGGGAGCGTAGGCAGAAACGACGAAAAGGCAACGACGTGTGTCCCTGTCCTTCCGAGTTCTTACGGAGCCATTCAGCCGGACAGCACACAGACGACTGTTAACGGGGATCCATTCTAGTAGTGCTTGTTCTGCCCTCGTACTAAGTGCTATGCCTACACCTGCAAGTCCACGAGAACTATTCATGGGGTCGCCAGATACACGAGGGTGTATTTCGTTGGCTGTCCATTTTGGCGAGGTGAGGTCAAGTGAATGACCACACTGGGATCCTGTATGCGTGTTTCGGAGACACAACATACATCAATGGTACGAGATTCTAGGGTTTTAGCAAAGGAGGCCTGTTGATCGATTTGGCATAGGGTACGTACGTTGAAGGCTCCAATGTGTAGTTTGGAGCGAGGTTTTAGTAGACCTGGGACAGCGTTTCGCGCACTAGAATCGTTGGCCATGGTGACACTTGAGGAGGAAACCGGAACAGGAAGTTTAGTGTTGAAAGTCAAGGTAGAAGGAATAGTAGGAATTGAAGAAGGAGATTGATTATGAATACAGTGGTCTTGAGTGTTGTTAGAGGTATAAGGGCAGTTATCACTTCCTGGTTGCCCACACAGTGGAAGGTTTCTTCCAGAGGTACCTGAAAAGGAAGTTGGGTTAGAAGTGGTCTTAACGACCTGAGAGCGTGACCGCAGTGCCCAAGGGACAACTGCTTGAGGTCGGTCACACACGACCTTTTTGTGGATAGTTTTTGTGCTAGCTCCGTGCTTGTTGGGACCTTACCGCCGGAGACGGATATCCGTGGCACAAGGCGAGGTGTGCATTTTTAGGGTCGACCTTTTCTAACCACACCCCTCCTTGTAGGAAGGCAGCATCGCTGTTATGCTGGTTGTCCGGAGGAAACACCTTACTGTTGTCACACCTCTGTACAGTCAGCAGTACGACTTCAACCTCGGACCTTGGGTTTTCTGCTTTCAGTCTTACTGCTCTTCAACCGACCTGTCTGGCATGGTAGGACCTCGAGGAACGACTGTTCCAGCCAGCATAGCTCGATTGCTTCATCACGATAGGCAAGCCAGAACACCACATCAAGGTAGCAGCAACGATCGGGGTTACTGGGACTTAATTTCTGTTTTGCGGTCGAATGTTTATAAAATAGTGACATGTATAAAGAATTCGAGTTACGATAGCAAAGACTACAATGATTACGGTTTTAGCTTGCCCTACTTGCGTTTTTCATTTATGACAGAAAAAAACAAATGGAAATTTAGACTCTTTTCTTTCAGATGGAGAACATAGTGATCAGTTTGTAAGACGGCAGATTTTAATCTAATTCCTAACACCGACGCTCAGCTGTAAATCTTAACCCCTCACACTAATCTATAATTCCCATTTAACCCTATTAGGTAGGTCAGTATTCCAGGTTTATTTTGCTCAAGGGTCGCCTATAAACAATCGAACCACCGGAATTCTTTCGTATCTAATATTGCAATTTAAACAACCATGAGTGTAGAGGAAAGACTTCAAGTTCACTAATAATAAACATTCACCACATTTACGTAACTACACGAATACTCATATATTCTACCAAGTATAACTTTGAGCTCGCAATTGTGATATACTTTCTTAATTGAAAACTTGAGTTCACTGAATATGTACTTCAATTGGTAGAAAAAAAGACCACCGAAATCGCGGTCTAGACCTCGAGTTTTGAGTGTGAAATAGCAATTTTTCTCGAAAAAAATTAACGAGATGCTGAAATATCATCTGGAATTATCTAGGCTCTTATAACAACTAATAACGGTGAGAATATATTTCTTATAATGCAAATCTCAATCTCGATCTGGGGACAATTCTGTGGTTTTTCCCAAAGCCCAGTGACGGTTAGCAATTTATCCCCTAGTTTGTGGTTTTTTGTGGCATTTCACCAAGATTTTCTATAGCGGCATCCGCCAAAACGGGCACATATTTCTCCAAAATAAGAAAATCGGGATAGTTTGACTTTACTCCATTCAAACCCAATACATTAACTCACTAGCTCTAAGCGTGCACATCCAAGACTTGAACTCATGGGAGTTGACAATAAACTAGAAATAACTACAAAAAATATATTTCTGTTATCAAATCTAACGTGGAGACTGTTCAGCCATCTGTATAAGTCTGTATTGAGAACAGGGTAACACCGAACCGTTCGCACGTTTATTTTTATTCGTAAGTACAAACTCCTTATGTCAAATATCCCAAGGGTTGCAAGCAATCGACCCAATCGGCAGCTTGTTACTGTAGTAACGGAAACGTTCGAAAAACCGCCAGATAAAAATTGGTCAAATGGTTAGGGACAGAAATAATCTTTCGCTTAACGGGCTTCCGTGTCCAGTAGCAGTAGATAACAAATACCTTCAGGCAGGAACCTAGGTATATCAAACATAAAGAAGAAAAAGAAGTTGGTAAATCATAGTAAGATACTATCCTTATACTATCCTTAAGAATATGTCAAGATTTTTCTTAAAGGACTCCTAAGAAGTCACTTGGAATAGCCGAGCCGGCAGCGAATTACAGCAGTGAACTACTCTTAAGGATTAGGTGTGCCTACAATCAATTTATCCGTGTTGTTTCTCTAGTTTCTGGCTGTCACTTATGAGATTTTTATTGTGAATAATATTAAGCAGGATTTGAATTTGAGTCCTCAAACTGATTCGATCATTTTAAGAGGCCACAAGTATTTGAAGATGGACAACACCTTAACCAGTAACACCTATAAATGAAACTTGCCCACCTATTAAAATCAAAATTCATAGATGTTCGGAGATATATTTGATAGGTTATCAGTGTATCGAGAGTTGACTGGTCTAAACTGAATAGCGATTGTTGAAGAAGTTGAGCACAGAGTTCCTACTCGTGACCTGATGCAGATGCTTTACCGAGCACATTCAGCTATGTGATTCCAATAAAACTAATGTGGTCAGCATTCAATGTCGAAGACTTACAGAGCTATTTATTTTGGGGATTTATTTACCGCTATATATTGATGGAATTGCTGGAAGAGAAATACTTAAAGTAATTTGCGTTAGTATTCACAAAGCTAAAGTTTGTGTCATAGGAACGACTCCTATTTTCTAAACACTGCTGTTGTTTCCGATTAGTTTAGGGATGCTAAACTTTTAGGAGGTTTGATGATCAAATGAAAATAGAAAATTCGTTGTGACGGATCAGTGAAAGTTTCCAACGAACATCCGTAACGGCAGAAAGATGTTTTTTAACCTTTCAGAGGTCTTATCTGACAGAATTATGATCGATTTATCGGAAGTTTTCGTAACGGATCCTTTAATCCGGTAAATTTGTTATGAATACGCAAAATAGTATCAGGGTGCAAAATCTTTGTTCTAAGCGGACCGAGACTATCCAGTCGATTACTTCCAATGTGTGGCTGATTAAGATGAAATACAGATCACAAACGTTCCTTTATGTCTCCTAAGGATACAGTGAGCTGTATTTTCTGATAACCTAACTTCTTCAATCTGGTCCCTGTTGTCAGTAGTTATTTAAATGTACAGTGTAAGGGGAAGAAATTATGAATATTGAATTCACCTACGAATAAGATTTAAGAATAGGTCGGTCGCGGTGCTCCTCTTATTATTCCTGATAACTAGTCCTAGAATACGAATCTTTATAAAATGTGAGTAATGTACATAAAAATCACACCCCGCTACCCGCAGCGCCAGATTTACGGTTGAGGAACAGCTATAAGTAGCCGAATGAAAGTTTATCGTCTGCCAAACCAAATTCTTCAGAAACCTGTGGTATTTAAGTCTTTATCGAAAATAGACCTCTTAACAAAAAATTTTTCGACCGTAATACTTTTACATTATTGTTTCGGTAACAGGAGAACTCTGCCTGTAGCTCTTCCGGGGGCTACTACCGGGCTCAAGCCGGATAAACGAGGAGGGTTGGGCATGAGGTTAGCGACCCCATCCCGTAGAAAATCAACTCGCTAAAAAACCCTAACCAGGAAAAATTATTCAAACCTTTTAAACTCTGCCCTGGGAATTGAAAGAATAATTATGATGTCTCATGATGAAAGCCGAGTTCCTTCGGAAGCCATGAGGCCGATGCACCTTCTAACAACCAGAGCGACAATTTTTATAGGTACATGGAGTGCTCGGACAATGTGGGAAACTGGAGGAGTCTTCCAAATTGCTGCAGAAATGAGAAAATGCAACTTGGAGGTGCTTGGAATCAGTGAAACACATTGGACGCAGGTTGGACAACAACGATTGTCTTTAGGAGAACTTCTGTTATACTCCGGTCATGAAGAAGAAAATGCCCCACATACACAAGGAGTTGCATTGATGCTGTCCAGAAAAGCACAAAATGCACTTATTGGATGGGAATCTCATGAATCAAGGATCACCAAATCCTCCCTTAAAACAATGGAAGAGGGCATTGCAATGAACGTCATCCAATGCTATGCGCCTATCAACGATTACAACGAAGACTCACCAAGTGAGTTGCGCAGCAATCAACAGCGGGAAGATCAGTGGAAGCTTTCACTAGGTTTGTATTCTGTTGTCTAGTTGGCCAATAATAACTCCATAAAGTCCTTATTTTTTGAAGAGGTTGTGGTGGTGTTTGTCATAACCACACAAAGCTGAACGTGAAATAACTGGGAAAATAGATACTCAACACTTAACACGAAGAGAAAGTCAACAACGGAGGAGGTGGGGAGAATTCATTGAATCCAATCAGATGGCATGGCTCGGCCTCTCAGAAGTGGTCATTCTGTATAGCTTGTTTTTGTTCACATTAAATATATTATTCTATCATCAGCCTAAATGTGTTTTGCTAAAGTATTGGACGTTATATTGCCTATTTTATGGTGCGATGACTCAGTATAGACAACGATGTGATTTTCACGTAAGGTCTTATAGATTAAGCAGTCACATTATGACATATCTACAATTTTCGAATAAGGTCTATTATTATAATAGTACTAATAACGAACTAGACCATAATTCTACAGGGTGAGAATTATTCCACCACAATTCAAGAGTGGAAGTTGACGCATCAGTCTGGCCATGAGTTGTTCAGAGTAACTTCACTTCCGGAGACAAATTAAAGCGCACCGGTTACGAGGGTCTTGTGATTCACGACAGAGATTTGAGTCTTTGTTTTTGACGCCAAAAATAGTTAACTATACAAAGTTGTTTAAATTAGATAAGCTGTATTCTGTTTCATTTATTGTCAAAGCGGTAATTTGTTTTCGTCGTCGATTAAGATGATACCCGAAGGGCTACCTGAGTTACTGGAGAAGTTCACCGAGAAGGCTATATTAGAAAAGCCGATCGACTTAGTTGAGTTTGCAGCAAATTATTTTGGCAGTCTTCTACTGGAGTCCAAAAGTCAACCTGAAGAAAGCAAGTTACTCTCTATTTTTTTTACTTGAGTAATAATCCAGTATATTGATAAGAATGAAAAATGCTTGAAATGTTTACAAGCTCTTACGCACATGATCTTCTCATAAAGTAATCTCTCCCACACGGCTGAGGGTTTCAGCCATTGTTGAGTATTTTAATGTGTAATCTCACGTTTGGATATGAATTAGCAACAATGAAATAACTTGCTTTATTTAAAATTCTAAGCATTAATTTTTTATCATTTCCATATATTTGTCGAAAAGACATCATTTGGTTGAAGTTGAAACGTTGGGTTATCTGAAAAACGTGATTCCGTGTGGCTTTTTAGCTGACCGTCCATTACGATTAAAAAGGTTGTATTTATCGATTATATTCCTGACGCAGTTTCTAAATGATGTGTTTGTTTTCTAATTAGCATTTAAGCTGGTCAGTTTCATCATGTTAGCCACGATAGTTTCACATTCTACTTTCTTCACTATACTCAAAAATACTATGTTATTTTGATTGGGATAAAGTAAAATAGGATGTCTCAAGTTTCAGACCGTTGTCCATTACTCAATAAATATACACATGGACGTATATATAGCAGTATAGATGCTCCAGTTTTATGTTATTGAAGTGAGTTGTCTCCCTCGACTAAACTTATAAAAGTGTGATTGAAAGTAATTTTGAATACAGGTTTAGTTGGACACTGTGATGCTACTATGTTTTATTTATCCTTAATTTGAAAAAAACCTTTTGGTAGTATCACATGTTGGCGATAGTCACCTGGATTATACATTTTTATTGCCTTTAGTTTGTTGGTGTTCTCATACCGAGGATACTGGGCAACTATAACCTCTTAAACAGGTTAGTTTATTTTAGAAATCACAGTAAAAAAGAAATAGTACTGCTAAACATAGTGGTGGTGAATTAACAGTAGCGTTTCAGCAGTCTGATGTGAATGAGATCTAAGAGTATTTATGTGTTTTATTAGTTGCCTAACGAAACCATATTCATGGATTTTGGACTAATCATCTTTTAGAAGTTCATTTAAGATTCTATGACAGAATTACCATGTGGCGTAAAGAGGATTTGAGTACCTATTAAAGCTCTAGTAAAGCAATCTACTTAATATAGAATATCCTGCAGATGATTTCGTAAAGCATATCTTCGAACCTATTGAAATAAGGGCTTTTGTTTCAGGCTTCAGTAAGCAAAACAGCTCCAGATTTTGTGTCGTCACGGACTGATTATTTACGAGAACACACTTCACTTTAGGTTCCAAAGCATTCGAAGTATAAGAACTGTAAGTATTGTTATCTTGGTTTTATTACTGGTCAATACTACAATTGTACAATAATTATCTCACAGCCTTTGAACCTAAAACTTCCACCTATAGGTTGAAAACTCTTCTGAATTTGAGATGGAGCTCCTAATTTCTCAAAGGCTTTTATTTCCCACTCGTTAATTCACAAATAAGATTTCCCTTTTCCTCCTGATCTGTGTGCTAATTAAATGTATGCTATATGTATATCTAGCGGTTATGGTAAATAATTAGCCTTGGAGATAATATTGATGCCTAAAAGGACAGATTCTTTGTTTAGGTATTAGTTAGGACAGTAAGAAGTTGTGTTACAGGTACACTAAGCTGACGACTCGTTACCTTAAAATGTTTTCGAATCTTAAGTGTTAACAAATCACTATCCACGATCTACTGATTTTCCCTAAGCATCTAAAAATTGTTGGTTTTTATGGTAATATCATTAATTTAAAAATGTTCTCCCGTAAAGTTTGTATATGTAACCCCATGTTTAAAGCGATTATTTTATCAATAAAATTTTAGACCTGAGTATATTTTTCGCTCCCACTGGTATTCCACAGTATGATGTTACGATAACTGTCAGTGATGCGAAACAAACAGTTCCT